CTGCGCTGCCAACAGGTGACAGGATGGCTCAGCTTAAAAAAAAACAAAACAAAACAACAACTACAAAAATTTGGGGTAAAAAAATTTAAAGCCAGGAAAGTTCCAGCAGAGAATCGGTCTCAACAAGTACTGGGCTCCCAAACTGGAAGTGATAATCCTGGTTTATGAAGGTAAATAATGGCAGAGAAGGGGCAAACTTTAGGAGGTGGAGGGAAAAAATATTCGTGGTGAAACAGAGCAAGAACTCGGAGCGCAACAGGCTCTGGGCTGCATTCCTCCCTCTGAGACCTGATTTCCCCTCTCCTGGCCCTTAGTTTCTGTACCTACAAAACAAGGGGGATGGACTAGGTGGCCTCTAAAGCCCCTTCCTGCTGACACATCTCACTTATTTTGCCAAACACGCTCTGACTGTCCTCCAAGGGCCAAGCCTTATGTTATGTGCACGAAGAGGATGTGGCTCCTACTTAAGACATTTCAGGGAGGGGAGGCCAAGACGCACCCCTTGGCAACAGAACCTCAGGCAGGTACAGGCTGCCTCCTTGCCCCACTTCACTGGGCATGAGGACTGGTTCTCTAAGAAGCAAGACTCTTATTTCAGCCTTCCTGCGGGCAGAGCCCCACCCATCAGATCTTCCTTTACTGTCTGACACATTTATACAGAACACAGAGGATCAGATATATGTAAAATACAGAGCCCACTACAAACACCATCACGAGCATTTACCTGCCATGCAACATACTTTTGGCTGCCAAGTGTGTCTCCAGGGGCTTTTTAGTGATGACATCCTGATGCCATCTCTGTGTAAGAGCTGACTGTGGACAAGGTACAATTAGCGAGCTAGATGGTTATCCTTTAAGGGGGCCTTTGCTTTTTTACTCCTGATTCCATTATTTGTTAGTGTGTCCCTGGAGCCAATGGATTAAAAGCTGAACATCCTTAGACCACAGCCTGAGAGAAGGCATTAGAGTATGAACATATTATGTCTAAGTGGTGGCCTCACCACAAGTTGGATATGGAGGCCTGTTTAAACACACTGCTACTCTCCAAGCCTTTCCAATACATGCTTCGAAGCACCAGGATATTAGAGCTGGAAAAGTCCTAACACAGTATCTATTTCCTACCACACAAATGAGATTCAACATGCCATTCACGCCACTTGAGTGGCAGTGTTGAGAAACAGTTTGAGGCCAACTCTGAGCTTAGTGGGAAAGAGATTGATTAGCAATGTCTGCCCTGGCCAGAGGAGGGGGAGGATCATTATGATCCACAATCACCTTTCCTCTTCTGAATATAAACTCGCACTTCAGGGATGAGGAATCCAAGGCCCAGAGAAGTTAAACCTCCTTCCTGAGGAGGCACAGAGAGTTTAGGGCAGGAGAGAGAACTAGAACGCAGGCCTCTGATCCTAGGCCGTCCTCAGCGAGGCTCCCTGAGAGACCGCAAGCCCAGGGTAAAAGGAAGAATGCAGTGAGCCAGATTTGCTCAGGTAAATCTACAACCCTTCTCCCGTGGCATCAGGTTTCAGCTGGGCATGCAGACAGAAGTGATTAGCCATCTAAAGGATCTCAGCCCCTCTGTGGAAAATTAAGGAAACCATTCCACGGCTACAGGTCTATGGTACTTAACTTTCTGATTGGTAAGGCTCTGCCATCAAGAAGACTGAAAAAAAAAAAGGTGTGTGGGTGGGTGGGAGGAGGGAGTATTGATTTCTGGATGTTATAAGAATAAAGTTCAGCTCTGACACAATGACAAAAACTCTTGATACTTTAAAATTAAGTCATTGGTATTCTATTATCCCACCAATTTCTATTCCCCGGTCACTATTATCCAATGAAGTCATTTTTCACAAGAGATTATGGATCAGAAAAGGGGAAGGACTGCGCTGCATTTCCTAGCATCGGTTTTTAATGGCCAGTTCCCAAGCCTGAAATATGAAACAGACTGTAGAATCACACCAAGGTGTCAAGCAGATGGGGGCCAGGAATGAGAGGAAACCCCAAATTAAAATGAAGATGGCTTCAAAACTGGCTTTTCTTGCTTGGATTTGCAGCTTTCAAAGCAGCTAGCTGTCTGACCAGATGCATGCTGAAACCCTAAAAGCATTATGTGCCCTTTATAAATGAGCTGCTCTCCCCAGCTCCAGGGGTACACCCAGAATGAGCCAGCAGGACAGCTATGTAGACTGAAGTTCTAGCCAATGATAAACGCTCTTAATTTCAAACTCTGGATTCTTCAATCCAGCGGAGAAATCAAGGAGTTAAAGCACAGCTCCAACAGTGGGTTATGTTACCCTCAAAGAAACTTCTCTCAAACCCACAAAGAATGTATCTTTCATCTGGATAAAGTCCTGTCAGGCTTCCCTCCAGAGCCTCTGCAATTATTTCTACTGGAAAGATCAACGAGGTGCTTGGGGATCATTCTCAACAATTACAAGAGTGACAGGCTGAGCTCAGAACTGGTCAGCCCTGTCGAAAGGAGCTCTGTGTGCTCGAGATGCCAGATTTCCCAGAGAGCAGCCTGCCGTGTTCCGCGCACGTTCCAGTACCCTGGGATGAGGAATGGAACACCGTCACTCTGACAAGTCAGCCTCTTCCCTCAAGGCCAGCTGACATTCAAACTCCAGACCGGGGGCCAACCCCAGTGCTGTGCATCTGCAGGAGACTGAAACAAATAGGGGGCTGTGTGTAAATTTGGCAGAGTGTTCCCGAAAGGCAGCAGATGAATGCAGAATCCTACAGCACCTAGAAGGGCTTATCGTTGGGGAAACAGCTCCGTTCTGCTGCTCCCAGAAAGCAAAGAGATTTTCTTTAAAGCCAGGATAACCAGTTGGCACCTCTCATCACCACCCCCAAACCTCTTCACCAATTCTTCCTCTCCTCTTCAAGATATTCCGGGGAGCGGGGGGGGGGGGGAGAACAAGAACTAGACCTTCTCAGATGAGCTTATCTGCCCATGTCAGTTAAGGGCTCTGAGCAGCACCCAGCTGTTGCTCCCCTCTCTCTGCCCAAAAGGCCGCCTTACTCCATCAATCCCCTCTTGCACAAGTCAGTAATTTACTTTGAAAGCTCAGGCCAAACTGGCAGTTAACCTTGACCTTCTCTCTACACATCTGGGTCTGTAGAAAATGAAAATCAGGATGTCTCTGGCATCCACAGCAAATGAAATACGAGGGCTTTCTCCAGGCAGAGGCAGAATGTCACGGGTTATTTCAGAACTGGCTAGAGCTATTCCAAAGGAGAGTTTGCATTGGGCAGGACACTCTCCCCCTCGACTTGGGGTTGTGTCCAGTATGGAGCCTCTACAGCTAGTGATGCTAAGAGAGGATCCTGCCTCAGGAAAGAAAAGAAAAGTGATCACTGGACTCCTCGTTGATTCATTGATAGTATCACAGAATGGTGGAGCCGGACCAATAACCACATTTCACAGACAGAGAAAGGGAGGCTCAGAGAGGGAGCTGGGAGGCGATCAAGGAAGGACACACAGAGCAAGTTAATGGCAGAGCTGAAGACAAGAACGTTGACCACCTGACCCTGATGCTGCCACAGGAGGGGAACAGAAGGAAGAGATTTTATGAAGCAAAACCCCACATGAGTACAGAATTTAAGGGAGAAGGCTCTAAGTTGGCTGTCAGGGTTTGAACCAGGGATTTAGGAAAGGAGTTAGGGCCCTTACTTTCCAAATAGTAATACCTACAGAAAGTTCAACCAGTCCCTCCAGGATGGTTTGCAACAATTACCAGAGTGACAGACTACACTAAAATTGATCAGCACTGTCGCAAAGAGCTCTCCCCGTGTGCAAGATGCCAGACTGCCCAGACAGCTTGATACTGGGAAAAGGAAAACCATCAACCTCAGAAGACTCTTCCCTAGACCTGCCAACAATTAGTCAAGTCTGACCCTGACGCACAAATTACCCACTTCCCATGGAACCAAGAAAGTCCTATAAGAAAACCTGAAATGTCCCACTGTGGACACAGTTCAAGCATGCATATGCTCACTGGCACCTCGTGAGCCATGAGCTGGGAGGGTAGGAGTGATCTGTCAGAGCTTCTGACATCAGTCTATATGTATGTGTCACACACACACACACACACACACACACACACACACACACACAAGTGAGTTCAGAGGAGGCAGAAACAATTAAGATCCCAGACTTTGCTGCAAGAAACACCACACCTAACTATACTGGAGAAGTTCAGAGGGGTTATGGGTACTTTAAGAAGGGCCAAGGAAGGCATATGCTGTTCCATCCTCAGAGCACTGGGCACAAACAGCCTCTGGGACATTTGGGGTAGTCCCTCCACCACAGCCTCTACTTCTGGACTCCCAGAAGGTCAAAGGCAGCAGGCCCCTTAAGGACCAGGAGTCTACCACCTTCCCCACCTCCAAGGCCTGAAGCTCCAAGGGGAGCACGATCTTTGCATCTTCCCCAGAACCCACAGGATCTGGGGAAGAAATAAGGCTAGAAAGAAGGGTGGGGGGTGTGAACAAATGCAGAGAGGAGGGAGGCCCAGGTGTCTCTCTGGGCAGATGGAAAAACAGGAAAGGGGCTGACCCGAGTAGAGAACACCGAGATCAGCAGGTGGAGGGAAAAGCAGAAAAGACCTGGACCTCGAATAGAAGAGCCGGCATCTCCAGAAGAATGACCGTGGGACACAGGCATACAGACAGGGTCCTCCGAGAGAGATTCTGGAAGGGACGAGGGGGACCAGACCTGGACAGGAAGGAGGGCGGTAACCTACGGTAAGAAACAGACCTCCAGACTGGGCATCAGGAGTCCTGGTTTCTAATTCTGGTTCCGTCTCTGACGGCCGTGGGTCCCTGGACAAGTCCCTGTCCCACTCTGAGCCTCTATTTCCCATCCCCAAAATGGGAAGAACCGTCGTCTCCGGCGCTGACTCTTAAGAGGCAGACGGAAAGGCGGAGAAAAGAACCGAAAGCCAGAAGTGAATTTGGGGAGAGAGTGTCAGCAACCCCGTGACAACAGGGGGACTCACCGGTCCGGCCGCAGGGGGCACCGCCGCCCCGGCTCCCCCGGGGGTGCCGTCGGGCTGCCGTTCGCGGTACAGCGCCCAGAGCCCCACGTTGGGCAGAAGGACCAGGGCCGCCAGCACCAGCGCCACCGCCTGCAGAAGCCGCTTCTCCTTCCGCCTCATCGGGGCCGGTCAGCCCCGCCGCGTCCCGCCGGCCTCGCCGCGCCGCCCCCCAGCTCCGCGCGTCCGCCCGTCCGCCCGGCGGCGGCAGCAGCTCGGCGACGAGAAGCGGCCGCGGCGCCGGCCCCGCTCCAACTCCGCGGCACTTCCGCCGCTCGCCAGCCGGGGAGCCGGGCTCGGCCACCGCACTGCTGCCACGGGTGGGGGGGGGGAAGGCTCTCGCCCCCACCGCCCCCGAGCCCCGCCGAGCCGCGCGCCCCGCGCCGCCCCCCTGCGGGTCGGCTGCCGAGCGCCGCGCGCCGCGAGCCCCAGTCCTCTCGCGGCTCCTGCTGGTTCTCCCGGGCGCCGCAGGACCTGGATGCGGACGGCTTCCCCCTCCCGGCCGCGATGGTGCGGCCCGCTCCTCCGCGGCTCCCCCGCCCGCGGGAGCTTTGCGAAAGTCGGCGAGTTGGCGAGTTGGGTGCGAACCGTTGCGGGGTGGTCCCCGCAGGTGCGTCTTCGCGCGCAGGGTCGCGCCGGGGACTCCAAAGCCCCGCCGGACAACTTCTGCTCGGGAATCCAGGCGACAGTTCTCGAGCTCCCCGGGGATATGCAAGGAGCTCTGGAGCCCGACCGGACACTCCGCGTCTGCAGCCCCCCGGATATGAAGCTTCCCACCCACCTCGCCTTGGCCCCGAGGACCTGCGGACCTACTGTGACCCTGGAAACTCGCTATTCCCAGGCGTGAAATGGGGCCACGGCTGTGCCCAGGCGCACTGTTCTGCGGGCGGGCCCACCTTATCTTCCTTTCGGAGTTCTGGCGGTAGGTGTGAACGCCTTCTGTCAACTGTGGAGCGCTGTGCCCGCCCGCCACCCGTCTGTTGTCCCTGCAAATCCGTGGGGAAGTGACAGGAGAAGCCCCTCCGCAGGACCTTTTCTCACGCAAGCCCAACCTCCTTGGAGTTGGAATGCCCTCCAGTCCCACGTGTGCTTCTAGGCACACACCTCACTTGAAACTTCTTGTCGGTTTCTGTCTCCAGCTAGCGGTCAACAAACCAGACACTGTGCCAGGCACCGGGATGGAATGAAAACAGACTCGATCCCTGACGTCTGGGAGCTGAAACACACACGTAATCTCATTAGACGAGGGGATGTGCCTGCAACGGTGCGGAGGGCTCTGAGGAAGGCGGGCCCTCTGGGCGCTGCAGAGGGCGGCGGATCTGGGTCGTGATGCCGGTGGCTCTTCAGCGCTCTTCACGCAATTGCTTCCTCTCTGATGCGGAGGGACGACGACGAGCCCTCTCGGTTGTCTTCCTCTCTCTCCCCCCTCCCCCCCACGGGTCCTCTTGGTTCTCTCCATCTTCAGCCCAGCCACTGACCCCAGTGCCTAGCCGCCCCCATCCTTGGACCAGTGTCCTGAGGCCTCCTGCCTCCCAGTTCTTCCAGCGCCAGGCTGAGTGATGGGGGTTCAGTTTTCTGAAATCAAAGTTCAGAGACCTTGACATCTGCTACAAGACTTTCAAAGCTCTCATTACTTAGTCTCCAGAGTCCACACTCCTCCTTGTGACCTGCTAGAGCTGCTGATCAAACATTCTCTCCTCCCCGCCCTGCCTGGTTGCGGGCTGGTTTCCTTGACCGCGTAGTTCCTTCCACCCTGAAAACCCTCCCCTCTTGCCCATCTATGTCAGTGGAAACCTTGTTCCTCCTTCCATGTCTAGTTGAACTGACACCTTCTCCATGAAGTCCTCCAAAACACCTCAGAGGGCTGTTGTCTTTCTTTGGATTTCTGTTACAGTAAAGCTTACCTTTAGTTGAATGCTTACTTCATGTCAGTCACCATGTTAAACCCTTGGCATGCATTACCCCTTTTAATGCTCAGTTGCCCGGTAAGGTAAATATTTTTTTTATCCTTATTTGCGGATGAAACTCAGATTAAAGAAAGTGGAAGCCAAAACGATCCCGTTTTAACAAAGGCCAGAGAGCCTCAACCCTCTGCTTAAATCTCTCCAGTGGCTAGCCTCTCACTGGATTTCTGTAAAGAACTACAAGATCCCACAAGGTCATACATGAATAGCCGTCACCCTCTATTTTCTTCATTATTCCCCAGCCCATTGGCCTTCTTGCTGTTCATCACACCACACCAGGCACAGTCCAGCCTCCAGCCCTTTGCACTTGCTATCACCTCTTCCTAGACTGCCCACTCTCCTATCCCTAGATCCTAGCCCTATGCCTTTTTACAAATATTTGTTTATTGGGGTAAAATATAACATAAAATCTACCATTTTAACCATGAAGTGGCATTAAGTACGTTCACACGGTTATGCAAACCATCATCACTATCCATCTCCAGAAGTTTTTGAATCATCCCAAACTAAAACTCAGTACACGTTAAATGCTAACTCCATTCCCCGCTCCTCTCAAACCCTGGAAACCATCTTTCTACTTGCTGTCTTTATGAATCTGGCCATTCCTAGGTGCTTCATACAAGTGGAATCATACAATATTTGTCCTTTTATGTTTGGCTTATTTTGCTTAGCATAATGTTTTCAAGCTTCATCCATGTTGTAGCATGTGTCAGAATTTCATCCCTTTTAGAGGTTGAATAATACTCCATTGTATGGATGTGCCACATTTTTGTTTATCCATCCATGGACATTTGGATGATTTCCATCCTTTGGCTATTATACATAATGCTGCTACACACAGCTCTACTTTGTAATACTGCAGTTGATATATAGTATTCATGTGATTAAATTTCCATCCTCTCTCTTTGACAAAAGTGTAAGTTCCTAGAGAGAAAGATAATGTTGCAAAATTCTTTTATGTGCTTCCAGCAGCAGGAGCACAATGGTAGAAACAGAGTAGCCAGGGTGATCCTGTTACAAACAGGAGGCTCAATCTGCTCCCAGGAACTCATCTGTTCCTTTTTATTAGAATAATCTATGAGAACCCTTAATGCAGCCCAAGAGGCCTCCATGATCTGACACCTCTCCTTCTCTTCTAATGATACTGGTCTTTTTGCTATATTCCTCAAATAAACCAAGTTGATGATGGCCTCAGGGAGCCTCCGCAGATTTGCTGTGCCATTGTCTAGAAATCTCCTCCTTTAAACCTTTGCTTGGTTCCCTCTCTCCCATCTGGCAGGAACCAAATCAAATGTTCTGCCTCAGAAAGAGCTTCCCTGGCCAGCTGATCTAAGCTATCAAAGAGCGTCCCCATCGCCACCGTTCGCTTGATTTTTCTTTACAAAAGGTATCATTTCTAGTTTTCTCTTCTAGATTGTGAACTTCAAGCAAGGAGGAACTTTGTATTTTTTTGTCCCATACAGTACATTCGGCCTCTGCTAGCACATGCTTCCCTTTTTTTTTTTTTCTGTAAATCAGAAAACCTGTGCTCCTTCCAGGCAGAGGAAGTTGCAAAAAGGGTGCCCCTCTTCCTGGCCTAAGGCAGTGGGAGCTGAGCCTGGTCACTTGGTGTTTGGCTCATGCTACTGCTCAGCCACAGAAAGCTAAGCTGTGGCCCCTCCCAGGCCTGGAACACAATAGATGCTCAATAATTACTGGTTAAGTGAAGTATAGCAGCTGAGGTCATGTACAGGAAAATCTCCGGTGCTTCTCTCCTCCCCATCCCTTCTTTCAGCTCCCTAGAGGATTCTGTGCAAAATTGGATTTGAGCTTTTTCTTGTGTCTTACTGAGTGACTTGTTAATCAAAGCTGCATGCCGGCCTGGTCAGCCTCAATGGGAACTATAACCCATGAACCCAGCTTTAATCCCAGGACTCTTTGATCTCCTTCTACAAAGTGGGATGCGAGGGGGAGGAAACTCCTGGGGCTTTATCCCACTCACTGAGACATGTGGGCAGCCCAATGAGCTCTGGCTATTTTTCTGGGAAAACTGATCTGATTATCAACTGAATTACACAAGAAGTGTTACTTTCAGACTGAGTTCTCCTAAGCCTATTGTGGGCATTAAATTAGGTAACGTCCATATATGTCTTGCCATAGACGCTGACCTAATGAAACTAGTAACTGTGGCTGAAATAAAAGTCCAACACCAGTAGGAACACTGAGGGGGGATGAAAAGGATTTCAGCTGCTTGGCAAAACCTTTCAGCTGTGGCCTAGGCCTCTCCAACCTCATCCCCTATACCCTCCTGCTACTCCAAAGAAGCTCCAAACCAGCCACAAGCACCTTCCTGGTCCTTTATCACACTGTGCTCATTGCGATGAGGCCGTGGAATTAACCCTTGTCCTAGCCAGGAATGCTGTCTCTCCCCTTCTCCCCCCATTGTTGCTCCCGCTTAGCCTTCAGATCTCAGCTTAAATATCACCTCCTCACAGGGACCCTCCTGACTGCCCACCTGAAGTACTTTCTCCATACTTGACATTATGCTATGTTTTCTTCTCAGTGCATATCCCTGTTGGCCATAATCTTACGTATTTGCTCATTCACTTGTTTTTGTGGCACACAGAAAGGGCTTGATACATACGTCTGATGAATGATAAGTATCTCCTGGCTTCCCCATCTTCCTTTACTTCCTTTTCTTTCTCTTCCTTTCCCTCTCTCCCGCCTTCCTTCCTTCCTTTCTTCCTTCCTTCCTTCCTTCCTGTCGTGAGCTGTTGATCCTCTCACGCTTCATTTTTCCCTCTTGTCATCAGTAACAGGCATGTCTTTCAGTATCCTCTGAGACACTTCAGCAAGAAGGGTCAGCTAGACGAGAGGTGACAGGTGCAAGCCTTCAGCCTTCCTGGTGAGGATGTAAAAACCTTCCCTACGAGACTCCTCACCTTGGCTTTCTTAGAGTACTTCGTTGCTGACCTGATTTGTCAAGGGCTATGCCCTCAGGCTGGTCTGATGTAGGCCAGAGCCAAGAGGGTGTGAAAGTGGATGGATCAGCTCTTCAGGAGGTGTTGGTCTGCGTGTTAACCTACCTTTAACACTCTTTAACCTTGGCCAAGTCCTTCGCTGCTCTGAGCCTCAATGTCCTCAACTGTGAAATGGGGATTTCTGTGACTCTGTAATATTATTTCCAGCGTGGTGTGAGAGAGGTCTGCTTGGCCCTAAGCAGAGCTTGAGACATAAGGGGTGTCAGATTTCTGTGTTTGCTGCAGGCCTAAAGCCTCTTGCTCCTTATCTCCTTGGGGA